ACCAGTGTTGTTAAGGAAAGTGTATAGACTTTATTATCATAAAAACAAAAAGTTTTTTGAGAACATCTATTTTTTGGGTTGGCAAAAGGATCAGTGGAAAAAGTTTACATGATTTTTGATTGTAATTTAGCTTTAAAAAAAAGTTTTATAATATAATATATATATATTTAATTTTAATTTTTATGTTTTTTGATTGAATGATTATAAACCTATATTTTTGAAAAAAAAATTTTTAAAAGATTGTAAATAGAATAAAAAAAAGTTTTTTAAAAAATTATAATATTATTTTATATTAATATATAAAATTAGCAATTAATTTGTTAATAATAATTATTAACAATTATAATTATTTTATATAATTGATGATATTAAAATTATAGCATAAAAGATTATTTTATTTAATTTATATAAAACTAGTTAAAAATAGATTATTAAATGTAACAATATAAAAACATACAAAAAAAAGCATGATTACCATACAGTATAATGCAATGATCAAATTTTTTAAATAAAATACGATGCTGGGGTTTTTTTTTTGATAATTATGTTATCAATAAAAATTTATTTAAAAATATTTAACTGGAAATAATGTGTTTTTGGTCGCAAATATTGAATAGTTAATAGTAAATAATCAATTTTTATTTTAGATTAATATATTGTTTTGTTAAATATTATTCTTTGATTGTGTTACTTTGTTATCAATCACGTAATCGATCAAAGAGCTTTGCAAAAACCAAAGGTAGTATCAAAGTTTTGTTTTGTTTCACATATATTGAAAAACACGTGGCCGATCATGAGGAACTACAGTCGTACCAAGAGTATACATAAAAATGGGTTTCCAAATTCGACTTTTATAAACGACTGCAGCTGTCATTAAATTTTGTACATCGAATTTTTTTTGCGTTTTTTTTATTACAAATTCTACCGGATTTCCACGCAAATTCCGTCATCACGGATTTTCAAACATTAATTTCTGTGTTCGTACGAATATTTATATTCTCGATCATTGTAATAAAGTACGGCATCAAGAAACCAATGAAATGCGTGAAATAGGTAAATCTTTTTATTTACCCAGGTACAATGAAAAGTGAAGTTAATAGGTGAATCACTAAACTTGTTTGGTTAAATTGTTCTCGGAACCGTAGGTACGGGTGGGATTACTATAAGAATGCCACCACCTGTTAATGTTTATGTCACAAGTTGGTCTAATTTTAAACATGTGATCTATGGTTACAGGAAAATACCAAAACTTTAATATCATTGAATTGGGCGCAATTCATCACTAAATGGTTAAGATCTCCTTTACCTTTTGAATTGTAGGCAGTGTCTACAATTGAATTTAAAAAAAAATATGACAAGGTATAAAACACAAGGGGTGAATATTTTTTAACTTGATATTCGTACATTTCCATCAATTGATGTAACGCACCATCAACTTTAAGAAACAATTAACACTATCGAGTCAATTAATTTGTGGATCCATTGATATTTTAAGTTTTTTTTATGAGCTTAATTCTCTCGGTTTATTTGTAATCGTGCAACTTTTGATGGTGGAAAATCAAGTCATATAAATTTAACTTCTATGGAAAGTCAAAGACCTGTCCTCTTGTCTTCTTTGAGCGATGTACCCTTTAAAGTGAATATTTTAGTCAGAAATATATACAGTGCATATTCATTTTTTGGCCACGTCAACTTGGAATAACCGATTTGTAGAATAAAATATCTGACAAACATTCTTTTTTCCTTTATTTATTTCGTCATCTTTCACGATGGCTGTAATTGATATATCAAATACAGCCATCTACCTCGTTTGCAATGAAGATGTTCGGCTTATGACCTTACTTGTTTCAAGTCTTTTTAGTAAAGGTGCTGCCAATATTCATCTTTTGATTTCCGATCAACAAGCGCAGGTAAATATTTAAAGTTCCAATGATTTGGTAGTGTTATTTTACGATGATTAAAGGTATTTGATTTCGTAGTATTTTGAAAGGGACGAATTAATCGGTGTAAACATAATAAAGGGTACTTGGGAAGAAACCGCTGATTTCGAGCCTGTGATAGCAAGTAATTTAACAACTTTAAACCTTTATTGCAGTTGAAGGTTTGTGTTCATCATTATGAAATAAAAATTTATTATGATTTTTTAAATGGCTTTTATGAACAGATGCAGTCATAGTGATCAGTATGTTATATCATGATTTTGAGAAACAACAAAAATTGTTCTCCGCGTGTGTCCGACAAAATGTTATTCTATTTGTCACGTGGGACTCTGGGATGGAACTGTGGGTACCGGGTTGTTGAGCTGTTTAATTCTTAACGTAATACTGTATCGGAAATATGTTAATGATTTTACCGCTGTCTATTTCAGAGATCATCTGGTACGTGATCATTCGTGCCCACGTACACAACTTCATCAAAGACTACTGGAATACACGTCTCAGACTGCAGATCGCATACATCCATATTTTATTCCTCCACGTTCTTCCGCATCGTATCACTTTCCTCACTTACCTGCTGACAAAATGCAATGGATTCTGTTTCAAGTTGGAATATTTGATGACGAAGTCTTGAAACATGATATCTCTACTGTCACTACCGCATTCAATAGTCCCAATCAATTCATCTTCATAAATGTCTCTGTGAAATCGGATTTTGCTGATATTGTCGCTGCCACAATTGTTAACAAAAGAGCTCGGCCTAATAGAAATTACGTCGTGGGTGAATTTGTTTCCCATGCTTTTTTGGGTCACGTTTATAAAGTTATTAACCAAGGTACATATTACCTTAAAAATGACTGTACATGTTTTATCATGTGACTAATTATTTTCGTTTACGCAATGCAGATCTCGAATATGACAGCACAATGCCATGCGAAATCACTGAGTTTGAAACAACCAACCAATTACGTATATCAGGTATAATATCCGCCCGACCTATACCACGAATACTGTACCCTGATTGTGATTCATATATTCACAAACTCGGTATAGAAATTTCTTTTCAGCACGGTGCCATCATATATAAGATGCTCGCCAATCACCGTCGCGTGACATTGAGGGAATGGGTTTTACAAAAGATTGGTGAGAAGTCGATTAGAAAACGGTATCAGTAAATAATCGGCACACATATATAATATAAGACACGACGCATTTCTATATAAGATATATACAAAAAAGCACTTTTATGAAAAAAATCCCTAAGATTGTCAACATCCAATATATACAGTATGTCAGGGTTCTTTTTACAAGAATATGATTAAACATAATAAAAAGCAAGGCTTCACTAATTTTAAGTTGGGTAAGGAAGAATAAGTGCTTGTCGAAAGTTATACAGTGTTACATGAATATCAACTCACTGAGAAAAAAGAATGTATAAGAAAATTCTAGTTAGATATTTATATTTTAAGCAAAAAATATAAAATTATTCCATACCAAAGAGATGGAAACTCACGTAATATTGTATAGGGTACAAGAACCGTCATAAAAAACTTCTTTTATTGTTTAATCTAAAGCAATTATTCTTATAAAAAAATAATAAACCTTTAAATGGTTTGTTTAAATGATTTGTAAATGACTTTATATATTCAAAATCTTTAATTGTTTTATAATAATTATGTAAAATAACAAAAATGATAGTTTCTTGATTTCATTTTTAAATTAATACAGGTTATCTACTCCAATTTTTTGAAATATAGTATTCAGCTTCAACTGAATTCTGTTAATATTTATTTATTAATCATATTTAAAATTATATTGTTTTTACCTAATTTATAACTTTTGAAATTTTTTTTTTAAAGTAAATATAATTTCTTTATTTATTAATACATAACAAGAATACATTCTCAAAAAATATTTTTTACTTATATACCTATAATGAATTAAATATTTACCTATAATTAATTAAATATTAACCTGTTTACAGTAATTATTTAACTTTGTTGAAAAATTTTTTTCAATTAATATAACCAGTTATATAATATTAAATAACTATAAGTACTATACTGGAGTATAATGTCTTTCAAACTTAAATAAGATTTAAAAGTGATTGATTTGATTCAAATTTTTATAAAATTTAATAAAATTTCTATTACAAAGTTATTA